GCTAGTAAAATTTTTCTAGACGTCCTAGTGGAAAAATTACTGCTTATATTACTCCTGAAGTTAACATCTAAAATATTTACCACAAGAAAATAAATTTAATGAGACTTTAGAAGTCTAATTTACTTTTTCTGGAATAGCCAACAGCAGCTTAAAAAGAAAGAGCAGAATGAAAAAAGCTGCTTGCCTGTATACAGAATTATGTAAAATTGTATTCTATATGTCTTGACCAAAGTGATTAACGCCTTACCACACTTGTCATATTGTTCTGACTAGTGTTGGCAAGTCTTTTTGAATAAAATATGAAAACTAATTTGTTTCAGTATATAAAACATGAATTTATTCTATTATGTTTATGAGAGAAAATATAATTGGTTGTAGTATAAGCAAACTTCTCTGACCAACGTCAACGAGAAAAAAAACTATAGTACATTGTAAAATACTAAACCAAAACAGCTCCCAATGTTGCATGTAAACATTATCCAGCCCTCACTCTTCACTGCCATAAAGTGCTGAAAATGAGAAGAACCAACTGACTTGGGCCTCAGTCCCCAATAGCTGGTTATAGGGAGAATCCTGTCATGGTAAGCAGGTAAGTAGAAGGCATCTCTTCACCAAGGGTCTACTGCGCCCCCCTTCCCTCCCCCCCCACTGCCCCAGCCAGCAGACACTGGACAATAAGGAACTCTACCACAGGACCTCTGCTAATTTAGGCAAAAAATCCCTGCCCACCAACTTGTATCCGGCCTGAATGGGCAAGAGGAACTTGAAGTACATAGCCCAGGAAGACTACTTGCACTTTTTAATTATTTACACCCTTACTGATTCCACTTCATTAAAAAAGAAAAAAAAAATCCATCCCAAAACCTAATTCTGACCATCTCAAATGACCTTCATTCATACCCCTTGCTCTTCTACCACCCACTCCCTGGACTTCATCATCCCTGGTGCTAAACTGCTTAGCAATCTGAAATCCAATATCCCTGCTACCGTCCCAGTCCCTATCCTTCTAGCTCTCTCATTCCCCAACTCCACTGCTCTTTGATTAAATTGGTGCTGCAAGTAGTCCCTGAACCCTTCCATCTTCTTCCAATCAAAGTTCTGTTGGATTTCCTTCTTTGGGAATCCAACCTAGATCTCACAATCCATCATCATTTCAAACACTTTTCCTGCCAAGACTCTTAAGTGTTCCAAATCAATTTCTCCTCCATTTCTCCAAACTGATTCACTGCTCCTCTCAAATTTCCCACCCATCACTTCTTTCATCACTAATTACAGCAACAAGCTTCTATCCTTTCTTACCAAGGACACAGAGGTCATAGGTCAAACTGTCCACATTTTTCTCTCTCTACTATGCCCCTGATTCAAATTTATCACATTCAAACCCATTTTTTCCTTTTCCCTTCCTCCAGCAGACGAGAATGTGTCCCTTCTCAGATTGAAAGCCAATGAACGCCCGTATGCTCTTGAAACTCCAGCTTTCTCAGGGACCGTACTCTAGCAAGCATTCCCTTTCTCCCCATATCCTTACTTAGTGCACCCCGCTGTCTCTTCCCCGTACGTAGTGCTGTTGTTTCCCAAAGTTCCTTCTTTAGCCCTGATACTCTCCCTTTATACACTCTTCCTGGCTCATTTCACCTACTCCTATGGCTTCTACTATCATGGATAAACTGATAATCCTAAATCTGAAATTCTACACCTCCCTCTTAAGTACCAAACCATCACTTTCAAATACCTACTGGTCAGTTCCACTTGGATGTCACACATAAATCTGAAACTTGATATATTCATGATTACTCATTTTTCCCCAAAACATTGCCTCCTCCTATATTCCTTCTCTTAGTGATCCACTCAGTTTCTCAAGCCAGAAACCAGGGAGGCATCATAGATTTCTCTCTCTACGTATGCAAAAGGTCACTATACCCTGGTAATTTTCCCTGAAAAATCTCTTTTTAATCCATACTGTATTTCATCCAGGTCTACCACAATGCAAGCAACTTCCTGTCTACATCTACTGCTACCTCAGTGCAGGCAATGATCACCTTTTAAAATCTGCCCTCTTTGCCTCAGTCTCAGTCCCCGCTAATTGTTCCCACCAATACTGTTATGGTAATGTTACTAAATATGAATTTGGTCATATGCTCCCTCTCTTAAAGTTTCAGTGGCTTCCCATCACCTTCAGCATGAAATTTATTTCACATGGAATACAAATGCGTGCTACTTCCTCTACCTAGAAGGACCCGACCACCACCACCTTCTCTGTTGGCTACCTTCTACTCATCCTATAAAGACTCAACTCAAGAATTACAAACTCTGATCACACTTCCATGCTCAGTTATTAAATCCCTCTCCTCTATTTCTAGAGTGGTGCCTGCAAATAGGAAGTGACCAAAAGTTTTTATTCATTAAATACATAAACATAAAATTTCAGAGGTTATTGCCTCTGAAG